CAATACTGACTGACTGACATGAGAAGAATGGTTGGAAGAAATACTTTGCTGATTATCAATGATTGTTAATGGAGTATTGCACCATTACTGACTTGTAGAGTTAGAGATTGACCAACTGGCATCTGATTCACATGTCATGTAGTATAACAGACAAATAGACGCAGTCTGAGAGTGAATGGCTCAACAATCCTCAGGTTTTGTCACCTGAATTTTTCCCTTTCAAGAAGGTGAATAATCTCTCAAATACTCTGAAAGCTACTTCTTTAGACAATATACATTTCTAAACACTACCCTGGTATATGTATTGCTGTCTAAGTTCAATAATGTTGCACACCTCTATGTCATAGGAACAAGCGTTCCGTAATTAGCAAAGTACATCAAGGTGATTGATGTGAATGTACAGAACATGCACTTGTGTCTCATGTGCACTAACATGTTTCACAGGCCTTGTTAAAACATTCTTCTGGTATTAAGGAAGAGACGGAGAGAAAGCTGGTGAATGATATGAGCGAACGCCTCCAAACAAGCATACAATCTACTTATAGTAGATGAACTCCAAATATAATCACTGCCCTCAACTCAGGTATCTGCAATTGGCATTTCTCAAAAGAACACGCAGTCACACGCTCACACATAAGGCAACACACAAACACATCTCTAGCTAATTCCTGCAGGTATTTGACGTAAAATATTGCATTATACTGTGATTTAATCTTTGTTTGGCAATCAGAGCCTGATGGATCTATTTGATTATTTTCTTCCACAGAATTATTTACATATTCCCTTCCAAATTCTGCCACAGACTGATTATTACTCATAATAGTGTGGTTTCGCCTGCTGGTTGTAGGATGCTGGACTACAGGGCTCCAGGTCCTAAGACACCTAAAGCTGCGCCACAAGCTGTTCACATGTTTATATCAGCGAAGCTCGACCCCTGAACTGGAGAACCAGGTGTCGTTGCTGTCGACAAAGTCACTTATTTATCAATATTGACAGTATCATCTGTCCAAACTGCTCCAAGTCTCGAATTATCAGGTTTGCAACGTTCACACTAAAACACGAAACATACAAACATGCAGTTGGATTGAACAAGGCAGCAGAATCAAGAGATCTCTATTTTCTCATTTCTCCGTCAGGACTTTCTCTGCAGTTTGCCTTACATACAACGCTGCAGCGTCTGCACTTATCACCGCTTTCTGCCAGGTGGGAAAAGTCTGCAGAAACTCCAGAGGCTCTCACTCTGATATTTTCAATCACACATACACATCCTCCAGTGAACCTGCCGAGGGTTCAGTGCATGTCTGGAAGCAGCTCATGAGACACAGAGACACTTGATGTTTGTTGTGGCTTTCTACCTTTTGTATGTTAAAACATAGAAACATGCAGGTAACCACTGTGTATGGTAAATGATTTTCAAATGGAGTGTCACCTGTGACTGAAACCATATCCTTAAAGACATAAACCAAATAAGGAACCATTACAGGGAGGACATTTTCAGGTCATCTGTTTGAAATCACCAAATCCTAAGCACGAGATGTGTCAAAAAACTTCCACCCTAGAGCTGACGCAACCATGACAGGCTCAAACACGCACATGACTGCACGTCACTTCAGTAACTCTCACAAGGCAGACGGAAGTATGGGGTAACATCTCAACCGGGGGTCACCATTGTGGTTTTGACACATATGTTCTTGAGTCGCTGCATCATTTCAACATATGATGATTCAGAGGTTTTTGACAGGTGACAAAATGATGTCCATTAAGAGGATCACAATATTATATTATTATTATTTTAGTTTTAGCAACTTATGTGTTGAACAGGAATCATAATAAAGACAATCTGGAGGTTGCGACCAAATACGCATCTAGAATTATATGTCCTGTATACAAACATATGTCCTAGTGGTCAACAACAACATTAATTTTTAAATAGAAAAAATATATGGAGAAGTGCACTTATGGATGTTTTTATTTACATACCAAAAGTGATGGTAAACAATAACACTTTCATTCTTGTAACAGATATATCTAGAAATATGATTGTCCTTTTGTGGTCATCTCTGGTTGGACTGAAGACTGCAATGGAAAAATGTGGTCAAATAGAGGATGTGATCAACCTCGATGGAGCGTTTTGAAGTTTGTGTTTGGTCCTTTTGTGATTCCCCTGAATGCATCAGGTGAGATGTCAATTTTGACAGCATGTGACCAGATTCATAATAATAATAGGTAAATAATAAAAATTATTATTGTTATTATACCAATAACAACAACTATTATTATAAGTAGTAGTAATACTAGTAGTAGTAGTAGCATTAGTATTATTTATATTATTTATATCATTGGTATTATTGAGATACCGAAAGTGATGTTGACCTTTTATGGTCATCTCTGGTCAGAATGGAAAAGTTTGGACAAATAAAGGATGTGATCAACCTCACTGGAAAGTTTTCACTGTCATGAATAGGCTGATGTATCAGGTGGGATGAATGAAAATGTACATGATAGGCAGCATGTGACCAGATTAAATTAGGGAACATATGACCTATAATAACCATTGGTCTTCCCCCACATTTTCCCAGTAGCAGAGTGTTCATGTATTTATAATAATAACAATAACAACTCGACCTTTTAAATAGAATAAATAGAAAATATATTGAGAAGTGTATTAATGGCATTTTATGTTTTTATTTACCTCCCAAAAGTAATGGTAAATTAGGAGCATGTTCATTATTGTAACAGATATCTAAGATTTAATGAAGAAGAAGTTTCTCTCACACACACACACACACATACACAATAGAGGAAACAGGTTCATGGTATCACAGAGGAAGTCTTGTGAAATCTTGATGTGATGACTGTTGGATGTTTGTATATTCCAGAATTTCCTCTTGACCTTGAGGAGAAAAACAATACATTGTCATAAATGTGTCAAACTCAAGACTTAAATTTCAATTGCAGTTAAGGCAAATATTGGATGGCTAATCCCTATTACTATTTATAGAGGTTATAAATAGTATTTATTTTTCCAAATAGGTTAGTTTTTTTGTTTTAATTCATTTTTTGATGCTATAAAAATGGAGAGAAACATCATGATTGACTTGTGATGGTCGAGTGCATGATTCAGTGCACCTCAATAGCACTGCTCCTTTGCCTGATCACTATTTCACAGACTCTAGCTCCAGATGCACAAGATGGTGGTGTTCATATCTGGGATATTTTGGTTTCATTTCTGGATTAGTGGGGGGAAGTGGGGATGCATTTTAATCTGTATACACATATTCTATATGGTTTTACAACTGCTCGAACAGAGTAGATCAGTACTTTAGCACCATAACACTGCATAGTGCAGTAAACTAATGCATAGCATTCCATAACATAGCATCTGGTATATATACAAGAGTATTTTGTGGTAGAGTATACAGTAATAAGTCTACAGTACATTTACAGAGAGGCTACTCAGTATTGGAAGACTTACTAATGGATAACACTCACTATCAGTGCCTTACCAATAAAGTGTGATTTACAAACCAAACACAGACACATGCTGACAAAACATTGCTCACTGATACTGGTCACAAAAGCCTGAGATGAAAACAGGAGCTGGGAAAATCAGGACTGAATCATGGATTTGTCATAACTCTGTTTTGCTTGTTTCTTTACCTCCTTGTGCTTAACATGTAAGCCGAGAGGAATGCTTGAGCAGTACTTTGTTACTTTAGTATAAGCATGCCTCATAATTGCAAACAACAAGTTTAGCTTGGATGGTTGATAATATAAACAAAATGAGGAAGTGAGAGCTTAACAGACAGCACTCTTCGATGCAATCGGCCTGAGGGGATTTCAGGATATCTGAGGGAGTTTTTGGACTCACAGACAGATGTCCAACTCAGGGGTAGAGCAACAGCTTTTTTCCTGCTTCACATTTTGAGTCAGGGTATCTGTCTGAGGGTGGGAGGCCTTGCAGGAGTTTACATTGCTCGTGGGTGTAAAACTGTCTCTGTGACGTTGAAGCGCATGCTGGGACAAGCTCACTGGCTTGTAACAACCTAACCCCATACATTACATTTAGCTGACGCTTTTATCCAAAGCTGATGTCAATGGGGAGCTCATTCCAGCAGACAGTCGTGATTTTGTTGAGTGGTTAGCTCGCAATGAGCAGCAAGCCGATGCAGAGCGGGGTGGACGGGCTGGGGTGTAAGGTTTTACCATGTCCTGGATATAGACTGGACCCGATCCGTTCACAGCATGGTACACAAGCACTAGTGTTTTGAAATGGATGCAGGCAGCCACTGGTAACCAGTGAAGGGAGCGGAGGAGTGGAGTAGTGTGAGTGAACTTAGGTTAAAGACCAGTCGAGCAGTTGCATTCTGGATGAGCACAGTCAGACAGGCAGATATTCGTGCTGCTCCTTGTGTTTCAGATTGGGAAAAAGAGAGGATTGGTTGGGTGTCATCTGTTTTTAGACTTTTAAACATATTACTTCCGCTGAGAATTATCTTTCAGCCCACCGCTCCAGTATATGTGTGTACATGGCATCTGTCTATGTGTGTCCCTATGCATGTGCATGTTTCGACAGGTGCCAACTGGATAGGTTAAATGCGGAGGATGAATTTCATGTATGCGTGTTATAGTGTGTAAAAAACATGATAATAAAAGTAAATCTTTTTCTTCTTCTTTAACAAGATTACACAAAAACAACTTAACAGATTTCTACCAAGCTTGCCTGAAACCCAGAACAACAATTATCTTGAATTTCCTTGAATTTAAATTTCCTTCGGGATCAATAAAGTATCTATATATCTATCCGAAGGGTGTGGTATGGGTCAGGGAAGGACTCATAACATTTTGGTGTGGATCCAAATCAGGGGAGTCAAGGAATTTATGACTTTCATTGCGAAATAGATTTTTTAACATTTTCACCATTTTTCCTGGAAATAATTCATGGGTCTTGAAAGAGCAAATCAACAAAACCAATATGTACAACATTCTTGAGAAGGGACACTGTTTAGCATAAATGGAGGTGTCCAAGAATGACAATTGTAATGATAGCAGTACTACTATAATAATACTATATATAGGTAATAATACAGTATATGTTGAAAGGCTTATTATGTATTTATTTAATCTTGTCCAAGAGAAGCCTGAGATCAAGAAACATTCACAATCAGCAACATACAAATAAACACGACCAACAACAAAACAACACAATAAAAATAAATAAGTAAAAATTGTCACAAGATTCATAAAAAACAACACATAAAAGATTTAAAATCTCCAAGGAGAACACAAGACTGTAGATTAAGGGAATATTGTAAATCATTCCATTTAGCGATCATGATCCATGATGTGGCTGCAGCTGCCATCCCGGATCAGCACAAGGACTCCAGGGAAGAGTAGGTCAGCAACATGTGTGGATGAGACATGTGACATGTCTATTATTTGTGTGTAGTACAATCTTTGGTTTTATACAGCAGATATTTACACTGATGTAAAAAACAAGTTATAATGTTCCAGTTACAGACACCAAGAAATTAGTCAATATTTAAATCAATAGCGGCGCCTTTTTCTGCCCACATAGTTGAATTCTTAGAAAGAGAGAAGAAGTGAAAAATATCAGTGATGTTCATGTAGAGAAAATAAATTAAAAAAGAGGAAGTTTCTAAATGCTAGAACACAAGAGACAGGAGATATGGGATGGCAAAAACACTTTTTTTTTTAGATTTCCTCATTCCAGAGAATTCTCTGCTATTTGACCAAAGGTACAGCGACACAGCTTTGATGGCAAAATGATTTTTACACAAAAATTAAACATTAAAAAAGAGAACAGCTGAAGATTTAAATTGCATTTTACCACAGACATCCTGTCCACTTTATGTGTGACTGATTATTTTGCAGAGAGAAGCAATTTTCCATTATTGCCATAAATCTAAATAACCAGCAATGAAGAGAAACTTCCTCCCATGGGATCACAAGTTCTTAACCCACAAGTTTGGCATGGGTGAGTTATGGGAGGGAGATGAGAAAGGAGGAAAAGGGTTTAAAGAGCAGACCTCCTTCACAGTTTATGACTGCGTAAAGAGAGGCTGAGCTTTGTACGACTGACGAACACTAGTAATAAAGATCAGATTTTCTCTCTGCCTCCGGCTTCAGAGCAGATATGACTTTCTTTACAATTGTGGCACTCCTGGTTTTTCTGGCCATTCCTGATGGTGAGTGTGATCTGAGACTACTGTTTAAATACAAGAACACATGAAGTGTACAGTTGATGCCTTACTTTCCTTGTTGCCAGCAGCACTCAGTGATTTGCTTCAATTGCACTTTTGTGACATGCATCCAGAAATCAATATGCTTCTCTGACCTCTCACAACCTCAGGAACCAGTCTGAGCAATGGAGGAGTGACTCCAAGATGTCAGTGCATCAACAAGGAGAGAAAGCCCATCGGACGTCACATAGGAAGCGTGGAGGTGAACCCTGCCAGCTCTCACTGCAAAGAAATTGAGATTATGTAAGCACCAGAAAAGTGTGCATTGTTTTTCACAGAAGGTCTGAGGTGATTACCTGTTTCTGGTTGTGGTGTAATATTTCCTCATCGTCTTATTTGGTTCTGCAGTGCCACTCTTAAAAAAGATGGGCAAAAGATCTGTCTGGACCCTGAGGCCCCGTGGGTCATAAAGTGCTTGGAAAGAATCCATATGAGTAAGTGTAGCTTCACTGCATTTTCACTGGATGTTTGAAAAGATTAGCACATGAATCAGGCTTTATGTGAACTCCTCAGGGTAAGCAAGTTTATGCATGTCTTTCTATAGAGGGGTATTGTCTTACCTTTGTGTTGACTGAAAGACATCTCTGGTATTCACTGTGATTTCATTCTTAGTCACAGATCAGGGAAAGATATGAAAGCTTGCAGGAGAAGCTTCCCATCAACTCTCCAGGAATGCAGCTGGTAATATTAATGACTCGCTAACTATACCAGTTAACACTAATGAAGAGTGGAAAAACTGTAATTGTAGTTACAATCTATCTCATTCCATTTAAAGCCAAGCATTGATTTTCAAACAATAACAAACTCTTGTGATAAAATTGGATGCATAAGTCCTCTAGCTGTCATATCGTCATATCTTCAGTGTGTGTGTAAGTTAGATAGCCTGCTGGATAACACATGTTTTTTTTTCTCTCCTCAGACACACACTTTGAAGAATAACTGACTGGGACACGTTTTTCATTTACACCGAAGCTTAAAGCGGACACATTAATAGAGCACAAAGAGCTTGTTTTGTACAGCGGGAAGGATTCACGTGGCAGCAGTTGTAACTATAAATCGTCAACACGAGTTTGGACACAAACAAGGCTTTATTCTGAAGAACATCCCACTTTCAAAGAGCTATTTTTGAAACTAATGCAAATACTTGTATTTTCACTTTGTATCTTTTTTTATTTGTATGAAGCAGTAAATGTAAAGAATTGATTAAAAAACAAATGTTGGATAAAAATAATGAATGAACATTTTAATAAAATGTGTTCCTCATCCTTTAATGCTAAGGGGGAAAAGAGAAATATTGAAAATGAAAGATATACTTGAAGGCTGTACGACTTTTTTGTAACTTCTTTGTTTGAACTTATGTTACCTTTAACATAATGTTGATGTTATCTTTGCCAAGTTGGTTATGTGTAGAATCATGTAAAAACGAACATATTTCAATGGAGCTTGTAGGAAGGGTGCAGTGTGGGCCAGGGAACAAACCATTCTTTTTTACATGGTTTAACATTGCAGGATATAGGGTGTTAGCCTCTATGCACTTCTTATAATTAGACATTTTGAATGAACCCATTTGAAATCATGCATATGCAATACAAACACGTGTATACCCACTGTATGTTTAATTCGATATTTTCTGTAATATTACACCTGACATTTTCAGGGTAGACTCCCCTGAGGTCAGAGAACATCTCTGTATTTTGTCTCTTTTTTTAGAATAAAGCATTCGTACAAAAGGTTTGTCTGTATGAGCTCAGCTGTGTCCCAGTGTGTTTTGGATCATAGAGACACAAACATCATGCGACTGTGTCTCAATACAACTTTTAAAGAGAATAACATTCTAGACAAGGTTTCATGGTTTGTGTCGTACAGAACAGTGTATCCCTGCAGAGTCAGTTTGAATTCTCAGTGGACAGACACTGCCACCTCTTGGAAAGAAAGGCACACATCATCAGGACTAGTGGTTCTAGTGGTTGTAAATGTTCACCTTCATTATCTGCTGACAATACTGAAACTATATTATTTTAGTGTGGAACAATCTCCCAGTAGAGCTAAGACTTGAGACAATGCTAACTACTTTCAAATCCAAGCTAAAGACCAACCTGTTTACCATTGCTTTTTATTAATCTTCTTTTAAATCAAATGTATCTGTTAGTTGTTGTTAGTGTTTTTGTTATTCCACTTTATCTTGTGCACCTTTGATTGCCTATTTTCTTGTTTTTCTTGTTTTTACTCTGTGTGCTTTTTCTTGCTTGCTATTATTATTTTTAGCGTTTGTTTCTTTTGCTTTTGCTTGTGTACTCTGTAAAGCACTTTGGGTTGCCTTTGGGTATGAAATGTGCTATATAAATACATTTGCCTTGCCTATGTAGTGTAAGTTTTATTCCATTTGTATTTTAGATATTTTTCTCCCACATTCATAAGTATTGCAAACTGCTTATTATTACTTTACAGATGTCTGTTTTTGGTTGCCCTCTTGCTGCTGTAATGTAATTTCCTCGATGCAGAATTAAGGATTATATTATGCAGAATTAAGGATTATATTATGCAGAATTAAGGTTTATATTAACTTTTCTTAACATTACCCCAAAGCTAAACAGGCTGTCCTTGTATCTTCATCCATCTTTCCCATAAAACTCGAACAAAAACATCCAGCTGCTGCACAGCTGTACTAAATCACTGACAGTGCATGCGACCAGAGCCAACATCAGGATGAATAAATTGCTCTTCCCAGATAAACTATTGTGTAATCAAAATCCCAGGATTTCAACAGAACAGTCATATCAAATATGGTGCTACCACCGGTTGGCCCACTTTTCTTTGATTGATCTTTCTGGACTGACTCCCCTGGTTTCGTCCTCTAAACCATCAACTTGTCTATTAGACCCTATACACTTCATAAGGAAGGTTTTCCTCTCAGTTACAGTTCCATATTAAATCATATTAATGTCTGCTATGTACCACAAGCTTTTGAGGTAGCAGTAATTAAACCTCAGCTAACCAGCTATGGGATTACTAAAGGTTTGTTGGAAGACTTTCAGTCATGATTTAGAATCCATCACAGAAGAGAAACAGCACTGTTAAAAGACCAGGAACAACAGCTGTATTCAAGCACTGTCAGAATCAAGCATAATAATAGTGATACTGCACAATAATGTAACATCATCATAACAGCACTTATGATAGCAGCAGTAATTATTAATAGTAACAATGATAATGATAAATAAGAGTCATGTAGAATGACAACAACAAACATTAAAGATTTTCCGTCATTTAATCATTCATCATTCATCAGCCTGAATAAACACTAATTCACACATTAACAATAAGCATGCCTCGGATTTATTTTTTTTTCATTTTGATATGTTAAAATAATTAAAATAAAACTACTAGATCTGTAAAATACACTTGTTTATGCATTTTCAACATAATCTCAAGTCTTACAATGAAATAAAATAAATGTTTTTACATTTGGAATAATGAAACAGCAACTGAACATTTTATAGATGTTCCATAGACTATGAAATATAGAAAAGGAGAAATAATGCAAATCAAGCAGTGAGTGGAAAACAATCTCAACGATATTGTGGAACATGAATGTGATGACTATTCTATTCACCACCAACATTCTTTTACATGTACAGACATAAATTAGAAGTATCCCCCTGAAGCAACATATTTAATAAACAGACTGTAGGTTCATGTTTTTAACAAACTGTAGATTCATGTTTTTAACAAACATAGAAAATAATCATGATAATAAGCAGGGACCGAACAGACGCCCACTTCCAGGAGGCGGAGTGAGGAGTGAGCCTTCTCCATTTCTTTGCCGTAAACCGGGAGCAAACGTCTGAAACTCCATCCGCAGTCATGTCTTGTTGTTGTGAACTCCGGAGGAAAGCCTTCATCTCCAGACATGTAACGTGGAATAAATAGAAGCACGTCCGAACATGCGCTGATCCATCGCACTGTGACGAGCTGGTCCGAGGTAATAAAAGGTTGATTTCTTGTCTTTTTACGGAGGCGACGCTTTCCTCTTATTTTTGAACGTCACTTACGCAGATTGTCAGCGTTAGCTCTCTGGCTAACCGCAGCAAACTTTCACCGCAACATGGCAGGGGTATTTATATGCTAGTGACGTAAAGTAAACAACAACAATGACGTTCATGCCCGCTGTGTTGTTGTCCTGGTTGAGCGGACTGCGTGTTGTCAGTGGGGGTGTTAGCATGCTATCCTAGCAGCCGTTGTTTGTGGTTGACGTGTTGTCTGTGTTGATTGTTGTGTGCGTGTGACTGGCTGTTTCCAGGCGCGCCTCCCCCTCCGTCACGCTGCTCCCCAGCCGGTGCGAGCGCTGCCATGGAGGTGGGCAGGCTCCCCGTGGAGCTGTGGAGGGTGATCCTGGCCTACCTGCCGCTCCCCGACCTGGGCCGCTGCTGCCAGGTGTGCCGCGCCTGGAGGGAGCTCATCCTCTCCCTGGACAACACCCGCTGGAGGCAGCTGTGCCTGCGCTGCCCCGAGTGCCGCCATCCCAACTGGCCCAGTCAGCCCCACCTGGAGCCGCCGTCCTGGAGGGAGGCCCTGAGGCAGCACGCCATGGCCAGCCGCACCTGGGCTCAGAACGGCCCGGAGCTCCAGTCCTCCACCTGCCTCCTGTTTTTCCGCCGACGAAAGGACCGCCGGGTCTGGCATGTGGGGCCCGGGTGTGAGTTTGAAACCCTACGCGGGGCCCTCGGGGTGGCGGGGCCGTACGACCGCGTGGTTCTCCATCCCGGTGTGTACGAGGAGCAGGCGGAGGTGGCGCTGAAGGTGCCCGTGGAGTTGGTGGGTCTGGGCCAACTGGGTGAGGTGGCCCTCCTGGTGTGCATAGAGCAGCAATGCCCCACCGCCAGGCTGTGTAACCTGGTGTTCATGCCACCCTGGTTCTCCACTGTGGTTTACAAGGTAACAGCTTGGTCTCTTTAAACAGCAACGGTGTTTCCCATCAATTATCTAGGCTTGGGTGGCTCGCCTTATTCTAAACTGTCCTGCCACAGTTGCATGATAACATAATAGAGATCCACAACTTGGTGTGAGCTCACTATCATCCACACAGACAGTCAGATCTCATAGCTTCAGCTGCAGTTGTGCACATCCCTGCTTCACTCTTTAGTCTGTGTACCTGTCACTCAGAATCTGTTGCACCTGAGGGGAACATTTGTGTAGGTGCACCCCTGCTACCAACATAGATTGTATGAATTATGTCGAAAACCATGCTGTAATGTCTTATTTCAACATTATTGCCCCCTCTATTAAAAATAAAATACATTATTTCACAAGAAGCAGAAGCTGGAACTGGAGGTGTCAATTATCAGAAAAGTTGCATATTATATTTATTACACATACTGTGCCATAATCACTGCTGTGCAATACTTATTCATGTGCAATACCCACCCATCCACTGTGCAACAAAGTGGATATAGTTACATGTATATTTGTAAATGCTGTCAATTAACACTATTTCAAATAACAAATTTTCATACTTTTTAACTTTTTAGTATTTTTGTATGTATATGTTTGCACTGTGAAGGAGTGGCTCTATAATTTCATGGTACACCCTGTTCAATGACAATAAAGGCATTCTCATTCTTATTCTGTTTAGCTCTGTCAACCAGTATCCTTTACAAAATCTGTCTTACTCTTTCTCTCCTTGCTTTGCTTTAGACATCGTGGGGTCACGTCCAGCTCGATAACTGCAACTTTGAGGGGGCTCAGTTGCAAATCCGCGGCCCAGGAACCTGCCAGGCTCGCTTCTGCTCCTTCTCACAGGGAAGCTCGGCCCACCTGCTGGGTGTCGTCCTCAGTTTATTGGACAGCTGTGACTTCTCAGGAAGTGACACCGCTTCAGTGACCGTGGAAGGTCCGCTGTTGTCAGAAAGGAACTGGGCTTGCAAACACTTGGCCGCTCTGACCAGGACGTTCCCTTCTTGTGGCGTGTCCGGGAATAACAGTAATTCATCAAGAGGCCCACAGGCTGGCTCCACTGGTGGACCTCAGCCTCTGGGTATTAATGTCAAAAAGGAGCATGTGAGCATGGAGGACTGGCAGAGGAGGACTGGGGTAGATGCATTATGTCAGGAAACTGTGATTGAAGATGGCTGGAGTGATGGTGAGCACAGCGAGGGAGAGGAGGAAAGCCGAGATGGAGAAAAGACCAAAAACCCATTTTCATTGGATTACAAGATCTCATGTGACAATCATGGACTATCCCATTTGCTCAAGCCCCGGTCAGACGGCTCTCTGCCACTGGTTTCTTCTCCGCATCCCCTACCTGTGACCCCCGAACCCCTCACCCTTCAGCAGGAACTGGACAGGGACCCAGAAGCTCAGATGCTGGCAACGTCCACCCTCGGCTGCATCCTCAGACGCTGCCTCTTCAGGGAAGGGAAGGGTGGCGTGCATCTGTCTAATTATGGACAAGCTCGGTTGGAAGGCAACGTTTTCCGTGGGCTCAACTACGCTGTCCGCTGCATCCAGAACTCCACAGTAAATAAAATCATAATAACCTTGTTTTAGACTGAATAGGATTTGACTCACATTTATATAAACACATTTAGATTTCCCAGGTTCAGCGACTTTTAATCTGCATCATGCCATTTGAGTAATGTATCAAGTTAAGGAAGTAGCTCCAGATCATAAGTAATTAAACAGCAGCTTCCAATTCAAATTGACACTTGAGCTGTTTCTGTCTCTCTCTCTCTCCTACTTCAGATAGTGATGCTCAGAAATGAGGTGTGTGAGTGCCGTGCCTCAGGTGTCTTCCTGCGTCTCTCGGCTCAGGGCCTCATCGCCGAAAACAACATCCACTCGAATGGAGAGGCGGGGCTGGACATCCGGAAAGGGGCGAATCCCATAATTGTGGTAACTGCTGTATATTGAGTTCACTAGTTTTAAACAAAAAAACAATATCCACATTCAATGACATAATCTTACCATAAAGGATCATAGGATTCATGGGCTCCTTTAGAGGTCCCAATCACACAGTGCACCCATGCCCTTGTTAACTGTAAAATAACACACTGTATGAGGCAAAGAAGATGGGTCCATAAAAAAATGGACATTGACATTTATTTAAAAAAAATATGTAAAGAAGCTTAAATTTGAATAAAATGTAAATGTAGGTGCTCTTACTTTGATCTTGTTCGCTATTTTTAGTGTTTCATTTTTGTCTTTCATTCTACAGTGCAACAGAATACACAGTGGTTTGCGTTCTGGGGTTGTGGTCCTTGGCAAGGGAAAAGGTTCAATTCGGAGCAATCAGATCTATAACAACAAGGAAGCGGGCGTGTATATTCTCTTCAGTGGGAATCCTGTGGTCAGGTGTGTGGGGCTCTAAAAACAACTGCTGTAACTTGTGCTGGAATGTGCTGTCCTTGTTTTTCCAACATAGAGAGGTTTTTGTTTTCAGCAGAGACAAAAGTTATTCGTTATTTTTTGCTAGTGCATCAGATTAAGACATTTCAGATATGAGGAATCTGGAAAATGTCCAGTTAATATAACTTAACTGTTAATTAATTAGCTCCATGTTATCACCTCATGTCTTTCTTGAAATGAGACTCATTCTGAATTTGTTAAATGATTAAAAGTTTTCCTCTTCTTTCTTTATCTCATAGTGGGAATCATATCTTCCAGGGCCAGGCAGCTGGGATTGCTATAAATGAGAATGGTAGAGGAATAATAAAAGGTGTGTAAGTGGGTCTGTCCTTGTGCACATATCATACCAGTTATCTGCCAATAGGTTCTTCATTTTCATCCACTGCTTTGCCACTCACAGAAAGTACAAACACTATTTGTGGTTGTTAATGCTCTGACTTTTATTTTATTTCCAGATAATGTGATCAAAGAAAACCAGTGGGGGGGTGTAGACATCCGAAGAGGAGGTGATCCCATCTTGAGGAACAACTACATCTGCTACGGCTTCTCAGACGGCGTGGTGGTGGGAGAGAGAGGACGCGGACTCATTGAGGGAAACCACGTCTACTGTGTGTACTTTCAGCCTGATAATGGCAGCGTCCTGTGTTTTATTTCAGCATCACAAGGTGTTTCATTTCCTTCCTTTCTCTTGTTCCTTCAGGTAACAAAGGCTGTGGTGTTTGGGTAATGTCGTCCAGCCTCCCGCAACTCCTGGGAAATTACATCACCCATAACTGTATGTATGGGCTGGCAGTGTTCTGCAGGAAAGACCCGGAGAACATCGACGCCAGGGAGGGTAACTGGCCAGGCCAGGAAGGGATCGGTGGAGACGGAGCCAGCGGGGAAAGGGGAGAAGGAAGAGAAGGGCAGGAGAACCTCAATGAAGAGGGGGAATTGTTTGCATGGGAGAGTGATCTGGAAAGCGAGGATGAGCGTCACTCTGCCCGTCGCTCCATCAGTGTGGCGCTGGTGGAGGGCAACTGCATGAGCTACAATAGAGGTAATAAAGACCACTGACACGTTGAATACAAATAGTCCCTCACTCCCCAGCTCTTATGTTATCTACATCTTTCTGTTTCTTACTCTGTAGCCGTTGGTCTGTATGTGAAGAGCAGCGAGCCCCTGAATGTTTTCGCTAACCTTGTAAACAGTAACCGTGGCACTGGAATCGCTGTGCTGCAGAGCAGTCAGCTGACCCGGCTGGTCACTAACTGCATTCTTGAAAATGGTCGAGCCGGTGTTACAGTGGAGAAAGACTGTCGGGTGGAACTTCGTGGTAACGGCATCTATGAAAACAACGGCCACGGCATCAGTTTCAGTGGCAACGGGCAGATTGCAGAGAATGATGTGGTTGGAAACCGTGGATATGGGATCCAGGTGTCGGGCAGTGTTGACATCAAGGTGAGTTGCAGTAAGACATGGAGACCGACTTGTTAAGACTTATTTAAAATACACTATTGCACATAGTAGCTTCTTACTGTAATGTTAACACATCATTTATGTGCATGTTTTGTGTTTAAAATGATTTTCATCTTTAGGTGCTGCGTAACCGAGTCCAACCAGCGCAGGGCTGTGGCATTGCTGTGATTGGACCAGTAAAAGGTGTCGTGCATGACAATCTCTTGTTCCAGGGCCATCCTGGAAACAAGAAAACACTCCTACACATGGATCCTGGCAATGACAGCTGTCTGTTACGGAACAACAATATTCTACGACACAATAACAGGTAACCAGACAATAGGGCCAGAGATTCAAATGGCATCAGTGGCTTTAACATCCATTTTCCTTTTCTCCACATGCTTACAGGAGCTAGAATCTATGTGTAACAGTATATCAAATGAAAATGAGAAAACACTGCGCTTGTAGAACGGATACTTCTTGACGCTAACATGCAGCTCATCTTGGCTTTACAGAGCTGGCTCGCAACTTACCTGTTTTGGTTCACTCTCATATACCTGTGTTACACCAACATTAGTAGGTATACACAGGTTTTTAAAAACAGGTAAACCTGCTAATAAAAGGCAAATAACTGTTTTCCCATTGCCAGTAGTTGAGTTTTGTTGAACGGTTGTCAGTGGGGTTGTTTCACCAGTGGAAAAGGGGCTATAGGGTCATTTTCAGCAAGTAAACCAATTAAGCACTTACGCAGCTCAGAATGAAGGCATTACCCTCAGGGGTAAGAAGCTAAAAAATAATTTATATTGGACTTATGTTTAATATCTTGAGGAAAGTATATTTCTTCATATTACATGAACTCAGCTGACATGTCATTCTGTGTCTGTTCATGTTTCTGCTGCCTGCTAGAGGCCGGAAGAATTTATTATTGCAGGTTTGACATCATTTTGTTTGTAGGAATATTCCTTTTTGGGGCAAAAAACAATCTATTTCTTTTGTCTTTGCATTTTGTAGCTGTACATCTGCTCCTCCCTGGGCGCTGGAAAACCCTCCACCCCGGCCACTGGCCAGCTCCCCCTCTGGCCTCTCCTCAAGCCAGTATCCTTCCCGTCTTGGAATATCCATGACAACCAGGATCAGCGCCACTGTGGAGAGTGGTTGTCACAGTGGAAGCATGTTCTGCTCCATCCTGTGAATACTTGGAAGCACTTACTATTTAATATGATTGAACTGGTGTGTTATCATATATTTGGAGAACTTTAAACTTCCTCAGAGAAGAACCTCCAAATGATGCTCTATTGTTAAGGTGGAGCAATCACCTGGAAGCAAGAGGCTGCACCGACTTAACCACTAAAGGGACCATCCACCTTCCGGTTCACAAAGGTGGCACAACATTTTGTACATCTGAAACCAGACATTTGTAATTTAAGGATAAATCCAAGTGCATTCATCAAATGTGGACTCACAATGTGAAGCTGGAGGACAAGACATTCAAGCATTGTCACCATCCTACTATACCTTAAACAACCATTTCTATACTAAGGCTTTATCTTTATCATGTTCTCAGATTTCATATTCACATGCAGGATCACTGTTGACTTCGTGGGTTTTTGTCATTTTGCTTCTGAGACGTACTGGATAGGATGTGCACATGTATCAAAGTCCTAGCAGGAATCTAAAACCCCATTCAGACCTGGCACTAACATCCATCCTTAGGGATCCTATCACAAGTGTTCAGCATTAAGATCACATTCAGAGGTGGTCTGGGACTCAGGTGGCCACATGCAATGTGTCCCGGGCCACATATGAAGGACCTGTGATCGGATCTCTCAAGACGGATGTTAACACCAGGTCTGAACGGGGCCACAGGCATCAGAGATGTCAGCCTCAACCATCCTACAAAGTAAAGTTGTGCCTTGTTTCACTTCTTCAATCAGTGATTGTAGCTAGGGAAGGAGTTGTCATAGTGCAAGGTGTATATGCAAAAATGATGGAGCTGCTGTATTTCCTAGTGAGTCTGTTTTTGTATCATGCCTATTATTTTAAAATGAAGCTTTGACTTTGTGGTGAAATGCATTTATCATTCCAGTAAACAACCACACAGACTCACTTGGTGATAGCGAGTTACTGAAGGAACATTTTGTTCAGTGTGCAATATGTGATGTCTACAAATGTGCCTCTGTTTTATCTGTCTCTGCTAGATGTTTGTCATCTAGAATTTGTTTACAGCTCAATACTCGGCTGCTTTTTTGTATCATGCACAGTAAATATTAACTAAAAAGCTCATGTATAACTCAAAGTTCACCGTTTTATTTGTCTACAAAATGCATCAATAAAACAGTTTTCTCTTGATCTGGTCTTTATCCTCTTGGTCTTCAGTGCATTTTCTTGCGTTTCCGTCTCTCCATGAACTGATCATATTTGATCAAAGGTAGAACAAGGGATGCCTGCTTGTGGTCGTCTTGCAGTCCAGCCTCCACAGTCTTTCCCCGGGCCGGTCTAACTAGGGTCAGTCCCATTGACTTTGCAACTTCAATCATTCTACAGAAAAAATATAAATCAGGTTCACCTGCAGAAATCCTCTATACCATATTTACAGAGCTTTATGTTTCAGTTGCACCATTGTCTATAACAAGACAGAACATTACACATACAGAAGTTTCAGATGTGGTATTCTTTTCTTACCTGGCCTCAGTGATTCCAAGGTCACGGTGCAGTAATGTGAGGTCAGCCGTCATGTGACCCATGTGCAGCAGCAGGGCCAGAGAGTACGCTGCTATTTTGGCTCGCATTGATGTTGACACAATGTTCAGGACCCTAAAAGGTGAAGGTCGTGTGTTTGTATTAGAGTCAGAGGAGTCGAATCAAAAATCTGTGCAACAACGACCAAATTAATGATTAATTATATATATGAATTAGTCCTCTGTACACCTTCTAATAACTTGCTTATATGGATTCCTCTTTCTCATCCACATTTAGGATCTAAGGATGGAGGGTGTCATACGGCTTTACAAATTCATTAAGGCAAATCAGGCGAAGAGTGGGTACAGCATGCAGGAGGCAGGACACAAAACTAACTCTAGACACACTGTGATTATGAAATACATGTTCACAGGTTGCTGATTCTACAAAAAGATCTCTGAAAAGCAAATGTATTATCAAGGTGTTACACCATCGTACCTGCCATTGCTGAAAGTCTCCACAGTGAATGTTCGGAACAGTTTGCTTTGAATGATGCGTGGGCAGCCTTCCTCCTGCCCAACTGCACATATAAATCAGTTAGTGTTAGTCCCAGAAGAAGGTGCACAGGACCACATGATGATGAAGGCTAAGAACATTACTCACACTTGCGGGTGATGCTCTTCTGCCGGGCCAGTTTGAGCAGCAGAGAGAGATAAAAGGTGCAGCATGCCACTTTGTCTCTGGCTTCATCTGCAGTCGGCATGTTCTTAAGGTGCTTCACAACACACAGGCTCCTTCAAACAAACAAACAAACAAACACATGTTAGAATGCAAAGGAAACACGTGCAGCTTCATAAAATGTTTCAGTGTGAGCCCATTGTTGCTCTACCCTCCGTCCTCCGTCATCTTCTGCAGCTCCTCAGGGCTGAGTTCTGCCATCTTGGAACCGGCCTTCTCCAAAGCTTCAAACTCAACAGGAGTCAGGACTGTGGTTAGTGATTAAGGGCAAAGACCCAAACAAAAGTGGATAGATGTTAAAATTATATTTGGGTTCGGTGGCGTTGGTTGGGTAATGTACTTGATTGTTTACTAGTGCTTGTAATCAGGCAAAACACTGGGCTTGGGTCTGGTTCTGAAAACACAATACATTTTCTGTTGTATCATTCACAGTTCTTACAACCTTTGGTAATACACACACACACACACACACACACACACACACACACACACACACACACACACAGGCAGAGCAAATGAAGGATACGATCGTCCAGCAGGTAGACGTCCTCAGGTTTGTCTGCGTTTGCATCGCAGGGAGGCAGGTGGAGAGCCAGGTCTGCTTGGGACTCTGTGTCAGCAACTTCCTGTTGTAGAGCTGATGAAAGAGAAAAGAAAATTAATGAAATAAGTATCAGAAACTAACTCAAGACTTGAGAACAGAGGGAAGACACCGAGAACAGCCAGAAATGTCTGGTTAGCTTTGTGTTTTACTGACTGTTTAACTTACCTTCCAGACCCTTCTGGTCGATCACAGTGCTGGCAGCTTTAGCCACAGCTTGGTGCAGTGTATCACTGCCAACCTGATTCAGCCTGCGGGAGCTCAGAGCTCTCTTCTGTTTGTTGGTACCAAACGTCGCAATCAAAGAGTCAACCTACAGAGAAAATGTGATGCAACATAATCCATTATTGCCAAGTTGATTTTAGTTCTGTCTGTGGTCTGAGACGAATAGAACAAATCACAGTACCTTTTCTCTGTAGGTCAGAGTCGTGTCCTGGGTCTTTGCAGTGTCCGTCTCTCCTGGTGAAAAAAAACATTGTAGATGTAGAAAATTTACAATGACAACAAGCAAAGCAATCACTTGGGTTATGTAGACCGATTTGGATTTTTGGGAGATTATACCAATATTAGGATGTTAAAAAATTGAGATATCAAAATATTTCTTTTTTAAATTGTCAATGATTCCGAAGATGTTGTTATCGAACCCTTATGACAAAGAAATGTAATTGAGGCTTGATATTTTACAGTTTAACCACAATGTTAAACCCAGATATAGATATGTCTGGTAATCTGCAGATTTTTCTGGCCAACTGATAAATCTAATTTAGTCTACTTAGATTTAAATGTTATATTCAGTTTAATACATGTTGGTGATTGTTTTCATTACCTGGTATGACAGGTTGTATGTTGAAGATTTGAGCATTGTGCACCTCCATCTGCTTGGTCTGTTTGTTCAACACTCCCACATAATATCTGAACAGACACCAAACATACACCTGTTAATCCTGTTCACAGTGGTTATGGTCTTGGTCTTAGTTTCTAAAAGTGTGCTGCATTCACATACTTGCAAAGGTTGTTGCATTTCAGTGACCCTGTTCCAAAATTACTTCCAACATAGGACAGTCTTTCTGATTCAGCAACCTACACAGAGGAAGATATAAGCAACACTGTGTTCAAATTCACACTCAAAACACAAATACAAAACAGACATATGTATATGTATATAAACTGTATTATATATTACTGTACTTAAGTACTTTACTTGAGTAAGTTTTCACTTTTACTCCACTAAGTGATCAATAGCAAAAAGAGAATTGATCCAATCAGAGCGGGTAAGTAACATTAGACCCGCCTCCTCAGCTATAGTAGACTGTTACATTAGGGAATAGGCAACACTCTGCAAGTACTATTACTTTCAATACTTTAAGTATAATTAAAAGCAAGTACTTACTTATTTTTTCTTACACAGAGGATCATTATAAATATTTGGTACAGTGTGAACACATCTGTCAGAGGATAACAGTGGTCCTGCATCTTCCTCACCAGTATCCGTCTGCTTTTCTTCCTGGGGTTTTTCTCATCTACGCTCCTGTACATGGAGAAATCCAGTTTGTCTGCATTTCTCACGCTGCCGTTTGAAAACCGGACTGTAAAATAAATTATAATATTATTAAATAATAATATAAAGACACAGAGGAGCCTGTCAACAGCTAATGCCCACAATCAAAAACAGATTTATTATGAGCCGCAAGAAATTCCATCAATGAAGCAGCATCTAATATAATGCTGCGAGGTGATTCAAACATTATATTCATCAGTGTGTCATGTTTCAGTCTTTCTCCTGACTCAGTGCTCATGACTCATGGAAGTCACTAAACTAAACAACTAGCCCTGCTGCTGCTAGCACCCACGTGTACAGTACAAATAAGCCTTTATCGTTGAGAAATGCGTATGACCGGCCATTTACTGGCATTATTACAATTTCAATGTTGTTATTAAAAGGTCTGAACAAGCATCAAGAGGGAGCAACGCACCAATAACAGCTCTGTCGTCTTCTCTTTCCTCCTTACAACCCACTATCGAGCATGAGGCCGCCATGTTTGTTGTCATGTGTGAAGAGAGGGTTCCCTCCCTGCTACTTCCGCCTTCGCCAAGCTTGACAAAGTAGTCCACCATGGCTTTTTGACTGTCAGGCATGTGAATTTAAGAATCTTCAAATGAAAACAATGTATTGAAAATAAAAGTTTTTGAAACAGACAAACATAAATATATTTCAAACAAAAACAAGATTTAGGCCACATGCAGTCAGGAAGGAAGGTTTTTCAAAATAAAGTGATATATAAAGTGTAACTCCTACAGCTCTGAGCCTTACT